TTTATTTATATACAGATATATACATTTTATTTAACAACAGATAATATATTTTATTTGAGTTTGCTTCTTGGATAACCATCCTGGAAGTTCCAACCCAAATTGGCCCATCTGGATAAGCCACGGTCGCTGTCATAACCTATTTAATATCTATGTTAATTTTAATTCTGGTGAGATGTTACCTCCTTGCTACAATAAGCATTATATAACAGTTTTGGTTAGCTTGCTAGGTCAGTAATGGAGTATTGTCTATAGTTTTGTATGATTTTAATTGTGTCTTTGTCTTCCCTGAAAAACTACTTGCAAAAAAACAGGGTTGTCATTGTAGGAGTGTGTGTCACTGTTAGTCTTTCGTGTGAGAAGCCAAATAACGAGCCTACACGGTTTCATCGGCTTTCATAGCCAAGATCATAGCAAGCTAGAATCTCAGCTCGGAAAGTGACGTCACCGTGCAGTCTTCCGTCCGACCACAGTTCATAACTAGTGGTCGTAGTTATTTGACTTTTCAGTGCAATGCCCGCTGCTGTGGGTTGGTTAGTAGCAGCGGTCAGTCCACGTCCCGTCTGTATATTGTTAAGTTTTGATGTAAGCACCCATGTTTCCTGGCTACCCCATCTCCCTCATGAATGTTGTATATGTCTTCCTTTAATGATGGAGGAAGACAATGTTTATAAAACTTCTCAGCAAGTCTGAGAGTATATTCTTTGATAGGTTCCATGGGTGCTTGTTCGTGCATGTCCGTTATTCTTGTATAACGGTTGCACCCCAGCGCTAGCCGAAGACACTTGTTTTGTGTAATTTGGAGTTTAGCAAAATGTGTGTTGGCCATGGAGCAATAGACTGGACATCCGTAGGTAAGAATTGGTCTAAGCACTTGCTTATATAGTAAGAGCTTATTATGAGTTGTTACCCCACTGTTTCGATGCAGCAGGGGGTAGATGGTTTTTATTGCCCCTGTGGTTTTACTTATTCTGTCGCTGATGTGGTTTTTGAATGTTAGTCCCTTATCTAGTATGAAACCAAGATATTTCATTTTGTTTGAAGTTGTAATGCTTTGCCCTTGTACCATGAGTGTACTTTTTATGCCATCTGTGTATCTTTTGGTAAGTAGAAGACTTTCGGTCCAGTCTTTTTAGAGCTATTTCGGCAGAATGTGACGTTTTGAAAATACACGTGTCATCGGCGTACAGGGCCGTCTGTATACCATTATGTCCCATTGGCATATCATGAGTCATAATGGTATACAGGTGAGGCGCCAGTACCGAGCCCTGAGGCACCCCCGCTTGTGCTGTATAAGGTCCGTTTTGTGAGTTTTTGACTTTAATGTAAAATTGTCTATTTTGTAGGTAAGTTTGAATTGTTTTTACAATGAAAACAGGGTAGTCATTCTCAAACATTTTGTGGATTAGTCCGTCAGTCCAGATGGTGTCAAACGCCTTAGCAGCATCGAGTGCAACAAGTACCGTTTGCATTTTGTTGTTATATGCCTTTTTGGCATTATGAGCGATCCTAATTACTTGTGCAATCGTGCTGTGTCCAGCTCTGAAACCGTACTGTTCTGACGGTATGATAGTTTTGTTTTGTTCGTATGTCCGTAGTCTTGTCAGTATTATTCGGTCGATGATTTTTGATAGTCCGTTGAGCAACGATATGGGGCGGTAGCTTTCAATTTGTCCCTTGTTCTTACCACTTTTGAGTATGGGGATTATATTAGCGATTTTTTGAGAATTGGGGTAGTACTGGAGCTTTAGGATAGCATTTATCATGTAATGTAGCTGTACTATAGCCTTTTTTGACAGATTTTTTAGCAAAATGTTAGGTATTTCGTCGGGACCTGGTGCTCTTTTGGTCGGGGATCTCTTAATCGCATCTGCGACTTCCTTAGGAGTAGTTAGGAATTCTATAGGTACATTTTGTGATCTCATATCTTGTATTTCTTTGCAGATATTTTCTATTTGATTTTGTCTGTTATTATTGGGTTGAGGGTTGATGAAGTTACTTTGAAAGAATTCACCGAGAGCACTGCCTTTTTGGTTGTCCGTCAAGCACACTGTGTTATTGTAATTCAGTGTGGGAAGTTCCGAGTACGGTTTTTTGAACCTTCTCACAAATTTCCACACTGAATTGTCGTTTGTGTTTAGCGCTTCCAGGGTCACTTTCCATTTTGCATTTCGTATATTGTTTATTTTACTGTTAATTTCTTTGCCTAAGTTCAACAGAGTGTCCCTGTCAGCGCCTTGTCTGTAAGTTTGCCATCTTTTGCGTATGTTGTTTTTGTACGTAATCAGTTCTGTTATGTCTTGAGGTAAAATGTCTATGTGTTGTTTTCTATTGATAAGTTTGATCGTCCTGTTTCTTGCTGTCTTGATGGCGTTTGTCAGTTTCAAAAATTCAGTATCAAGTGTGTTGTTATTAGTGATGTTGTTGTTGATTTTAATGTTTTCGTCCAGTATGGTTCTAAAGTTTTTCCAGTTAGTCATTTTGTAGTCGTAGAACTGGCCCTGCATACATGGAACTACGCTAGTGGCTTTTATTTCCATGTATACAGGGTCATGGTCTGATGTCATTGTTGGTATGGTCCTTATTTTGTCAACGTTGGGTATATTTTTCGTCATTGCTATGTCGAGTGTGCTTGGCGTTCTTCCATTGAAAGGGAAAAAGGTAGGTTCTTCCGGATAATGAATGATGCAGTCCTCACTCTCGGCGAATTCATTCAAGTTTCTTCCGCTTGTGTTGGGATAGACACAGTTTGCGTCCCAATGAAAGTGTTTACTGTTTAGATCCCCAAACAAAAGAACTTTGTTACCTAGGGACATGATAGTGGTTAATTCCCTTTTGCTAAAGACGTTGTTAGGGTGATTGTACAAACCTACAAAAATTATGTTATTGATTTTAACGATAGTGTGCTCTTGAGTGATATTAATATTTGGCTGCTTCGTATATTCTAGTTCTCTTTTAATTAAAAGTGCTACCCCACCCCATGCTTGGTTTAGTCGATCTTGTATAATGACATCATACCCTTGTACTTTGTATTTGTCTGTCTGTGTGTAGTGTGTCTCTGTTATGAGCATGATGTCAAAATTATGTTTGAGAATGAAACTGCGAACAATCGATGTTTTGTTGCGCATCCCATTTGCATTGTAAAAACAAATTTTGATTTTGTCTTTGTGAGTATGTAGTTCTTAATTTCTTAGGTTGAAGTTTTTATCTACGTTTGTCATAAAGTGATTGTACGTCTCTATGAGTTCTTGTCCCGATTTGCATAATCGTATTTGTGCGTTAAGTTGTCTTACCGCCCTAGCAAGCTCACCTATATTAACTAAACTGTTTAGTTCTGCAAAAGCTTCATTTAATGACGTAACATCGGCCGTGACTGATCCCTGGGGAATTTGTCTTGGTGCCTCCATTCTGGGTATCGAAGATGCACTATTAATTCTTGTGTTCATCCTTGGTTCTCTATTGGGCAGGGCAGGGAAATCATCAGCTCTTCTGCTGGTTCTTCTATTGTCCCATTGGTTGTGTTGTGGCAGGGGGGCGGGTACATATTTAATTTGTTGCGGTTTCTGCATTCGATTTAATTCAAGCCTTTCTATTCTGTCTGTGTAGCTTTTGCATTTAGTGTAATTTGCGGGGTGATCACCACCGCAATTTGCGCAAGTCGCCGGGGTGTCTCTCGTCTTGACACAGGTGCTAGTGTGATGATCACCCGCACACTTCAGGCATTTTGGCTGTCTTCCGCAGTTAGCAGTTGCGTGTCCCCACTGTTGACACGTGTGGCATTGTACTATTTGCTTTACTGACTTTCGGAGTTCCCAAACCACCCTTGTATATAGAACTCGCCGAACATTTTTGTTTAGATAGTCTAATGTGAGGGTAGGGTCTGTTATGACCAAGAACAGGGGACGATTTTTAGTGTTCATCCTGTAGATGGACCTTGCTTTTATGTCATATTCCTCCGTAAGATCTTCATCGATGTCATTTATTTTGGTGCCTTCTGCGGGGCCTCTTAATACAAAAGCGTGCGTTTTCTCCTCCCTATTAGTGTAAGTGTGATAGGGGAGTTTTTCGGCTCTTATGTTTTGCACCATTTTTTCATGATCCTCTTTCTCTTCTAGAAAGAGGATAGTTGAGTTATTAGTATGTTTTATACTAAATTTCCCAGTTACTATAGCTTTTATGTCTCGTATAAGGGTGTTTTGGCTTGTTGTCTTGCCATCTATTATGATTGGGGGCATCTGGTTTTTACTTTTGTGGCCTGGGGTGACTTTTTGTGCTGTTTGAGTGTTGGGGGCATTGTTCTCAGCTAGTATGCTCTCGATAGTCTCTTCTGTGTTTTCCGAGGGTTTAGCAGTGTTATTTGTTTCCCTCTTCTTAGCATTTTTCCTTTTTCTTTTCACGATTTTTCCCAGATCATCATCGTATTCCGAATCAGAGTCTTCGGTCAGGGGTTGGAATCTGTTGTTTATCTTAGTCATTGTTTTTTTAGTTTTTTCCCTTATCAACTTTTCGAAATTCGAACTGAATTTCTTAGGGGTGATAAAGGGTTGGTTGTCGTTCCTGTTATCAGTATCCGTTTCTGGGTTTTTAGGAGGGCTGCTTTTTGACCTTAGTTGAAAAGTGCTATTTGGGGAAGTGGGCAGTCTATTCTGCTCTGTAATATCATTTCTGTCCTTGTGTCTTTTGTCCTCTTCTGATGTGGCGTTACCAGAATTGTAATTAAATATATTCATATCTATATTTGAGGGTAGGTCAGCACTTCTTACTCCTATCGTGATTCTGGGGTCACTTGGGATTTTGTACATTTTCGGTATTGCACCCTTGCTTATTGAGTTGTAAATACCTTTATAGATTGGGTTGTTTGGATTGGGCTCTGCGGCCGTGGGGACAAAGCCGAATCGAAAGCTACTCGATCCACCCTCAGTCCGGCTTGTCTCCACAGTAGCATTGTCCATATCCTTTTGTGAGGTATTATTTTTATCGTATTTTTGTGTTTCGGTGTATACTTGTGGTCCTGGATTCAGATACTGGGGGCGGTTTTCATTTCCGCTTGGTGGGGTGGCTCCGGGGGTAATCGTGCTACCATCTGATAATAGGGGGTCCTGACCGCAGTCCAGAAATCTGGCAGTAACATGCTTTGGCATTTCTAATGTTTTATAGGCCGATTCAAATTCTTTAAATTTTTCTCCATACTTTTTTTTTTCCGAAAAAGTTGGTTTATTTTTTTTGATTTTTGGTGATTCTTCATTCGATTCATCAAGATCCATTTCTAAAACGGTCCCGTTTAAATTTTTAGAACTATTGGAGTCCTCATTTGTTCCCTCCAGGTCATTAATTAACTTCTCCAAGCTTTCGTCAGCTCTTATTATGTCGCTTTTTTCGAGGCTACTGTGCGAAGATTCACTCGAATTGATACTATCCGAGCTCTCAGCACTTTCCTGTTCCTCGGTGCTATCACTGTATCCGCCTGAGAAGGTTTTCTCCTTACTTTCGGTGTTCTCCGAAGTTTCTAATTCTGCGTTGAGGTCTGTCTCGTCCGCTTTCTCCGAACTTTTTCGGTCAGTCACCGCATCTAAATTTGCGCTTAGAGCGTTCTGCTTACTTTCCCAGTCTGTGTTGCGATTGGTCTTAACTGTTTTCTCCGAACTTTTTCGGTCCGTCGCTGTGTGAGGGCTTGCGTTACTAGCGTTCTCCTTACTTTCTTCAGCTTTCTCCAAGCTTTTTCTTGCACGATTGTTATTGGGCTTTGAGTTGTGAGGTTCGTCGAATGTTGTGTGAGTGCTCCCCGCACTGCTTTCTGCAGCGGCGGTCTTTGCTGTTTCGAGAATCAGTTGATTTGTCACCATTTGTCTATCATCTTTCTCCTTACTTTTTTCAGAAAAATTTTTTTGCGTGGATTCCCTTCTGATTGTGTCAGCTGACCCCAGATTAGTTAGGTTAGTGATTCTCCCTTGGGTACTCACAGTTTTGTAAGGATGTTGTAGCCTGTTTGTGTTCGGCGTCTTGGGGGTGGTTGGAGTTGATCGATTTCGCGTCACATTTGCCACTTTTACCGGCGGTTTGGTGTTTTTAATCCGTTCACGGAGTCTTTTCGAGTAAATCGTCTCGTAGACAACTTTGGATGGCCCAGAGGGCTCCGACATCAAATCCGGAACTCCCGGGAGTGATTGTTACTTACTCTGGCGCAATATAAATAAGAAAAATTAATTTTGTAGTCACAATTGTACTGTTGACAAGTTAGTCACACGTATGTTGGTTGCCTATACACTCTGCTCGAAAAATTAGCGTGCGTGTATGAACTTACACCTAGAGAAGTTCTAGGTAAAACTGTCTAACTCTATCCTAGAGGTTTTGATTTTTATTTTAAATTCCATCCGCACTGGCAGCAACATAATCCAATTCGGTATCAATAAAAGTCCACATGCATAAAAACTTTTTCTTGCAAATAAATTTCCAAATTTTATTTTGCTCTGGATTTATTGTCCATGTCATATTAAGTGGCTTTAGCAAAAAATAAAAGATTTTATGAGATTGTTTAAAGAATGTCTTTCCTTTTTTTACAAATGTCTCCAAATTTTGTAACAGTGACTCCTTTTCGTCTTTCATTTTGTTACATTTCACAATCAGCTTGATCTTTTGTCACATTCATTTTTTTTCTCATCTATAGACATTGGCAAACATTTTAGAAAATATTCTTTTGCAACGTCAAAGAGTGTGACAGATCAAAGCCATGCTAAAAAATATACACTACTTTAACAGATTAACGAGTTTTTAACATGCTGGAATTAATTATTCTTAACTCGAAGATGTATTCATAAAAAAAAACTCCCATACAATATAAAAGTTAATTTATAAATCACATCTTACTGTATACCTTTTAATTTCGGATATATTTTTTTTAATAAATAAATGATAAAATTAATTAAAAATAATTAAGGAAATTACTGTAAAAATAACAAAGTGTACAGACATAAAACAAAATAAATTCAAATCACTTGCGTACATTAATCACTTGTAAACAGTAGAAAAGGATATAAATTTTTTTGGTGTCACCCTATAGACGAGAAAGCTTTTAAGGAATTTTTTTAAATTTTTATTGAGAAAAATAAATGCTCCTGTAGGTAAACATTAAATATATTGTTCCCTTCTAGCATTTTTATTTGTATTTTTTTTTTCGATAGTAAGGTATATCTTCTTAGATTTTTTCAAAAGAAACCGTTTCAAATGTCCAAAAAGTGACTCCAGAGGGGTACGGGTTGAGCCTGTACCTTTAATTACATAACTTTTCAAAAAATAAAAAATAATCCGTAAAATTGGTGTACTATGAAACCCTTATTATATAAATATGTCGATCTTAGTATAACAGAAATGATTTACGTAAATCAATAAGGTGTACCTACAAATACATAAAATTTAATTATCCCTCGTAAAATATCAGTAAAATATATTGTAAATTGTTATCATTCACAAATATTAATTTCTTAAAAATCTAACAGAGGCGCCCCTTGCCAGACGAAAAATCTTGCAATGTATGGGTTCCGTAGTACCCCACTTTTAAAGTTTATTTTTAATTATTTTTAGAAGAAAAACATATGTACGTGTAGATAAAGGTTAAAAATTGAGAAAATGAATAAAAAAAGTCGAGTTTTGTGTTTTTTTTTTAGAAAAAACGAATTAAAATTTTGAAAAAGTGTCTACAGAGGAGCACAGATTTAACCTTTACCTACACACACATATTTTTTTCTTTTAAAATAAATCAAAAATAAACTTTAAAAGTGGGGTACTACGAAACCCTTGTATGCTCTGCTCTAAAGTCAAGTAAATACTCCTCTTAATATAAAAAAAAATTTGTAGTAAATTTTTATTTCAAAATTTCAAACAATATTTTAATATGAAGCTATCAACAAATTGACTCAAACTCTTAGCATTTATGAACCAGCACGTGCTAGCACATTGACGATTACATAATAGCCCAAGAAGCCCACTGCAAATTTTTACCGTCATCTGATAACGAAATGAAATATACCCCAAAAGCATGTAAAAACATTGTACTTTAAGAAATGGCACCTGTGCCAATCCCAATCCTGAGCAAAGTGGCTTAAAAAATTATTTTATTTTAAGAAAATCACATAAGGCATGACAGCGCTAATTTTGTTTGCCCTTAAAGTTTTCCAAAAAATAACATTCAAATATATCTTGATATATATCGTTAAAGGGAACATTTTCTTCCTCTTAACATCGCACAAAAACATCTATCCACGATTAGTAGGTAAAAATCATTAAAAATATAAATCAATTTTTGCTGATTTAAAAATTTATTTGTATGCCTATTGTTGTGATTCATTTTTATAGGTTGCCATCGAAACGACAAAAAACTACTATGATAATGGTTTAAAAGAATTGTCTAACAAGAGTTTATAATTATTATTGACTATCTCTGCAAATGGTCTATACAATGCCATCCTTCTTCCTTTCACACATAAACATGGTTTAAAAGGTAGGTAAAAATATTGATAATTCAGGTTTAAAAGCTAGGTTCACAATAAATTAGGATTGTAATTTTCAGGGACAACACAATTGTCGGTGTCATGTTTTATGTGATTTTTTGAATATAAAATAATTTTTTTAAACCACTTTGCTCAGGATAGGGATTGGCACAGGTGCAATTTGGTAAAGTACAATGTTGTTACATGCCTTTGGAGCATATTTCATTTCGTTATCAGATGACGGTCGAAATTTGCAGTGGGCTCTCATACTATAATGGTGAACATTTAAAAATATGATGTGTCCAACACATGATATTCCTATAAAGTTATTAGAAATATTGAATACGGTTCATGTAATCAAAAAGTGATGTCATGTTATGTTGGGTATGGGGTACTAATGCACTGTGACCTAAAATATCTATTGTGCCCACTTCTGTCGTTAATGCTTTCAGGAAATAGTCCCCATACCTATAATGATCCTTCTAATCCTATCTTATATCTTCTCAAATGTGAAGGTTTTGGAGTGGCTTCATGTTAGATAGATCGCCGTCTTCTATTTGGTATGCTCCCAGTATAGTACCCATGGATTCTGGAGTGCTACACATTCAGTTAAAATGTGAAAGGAGGGTTCGTCCTTCTCCTTCTCCTACTCCTTACAGAATTTGCACTCTCTATATTCTACTACTCAGTTTGCCAAGGTGTCCTTTAAGTCGGCAATGATCTGTAAGGATCCTTGTTACAATCCGTAGCCTGTTCTTGTTTAGGCAGGCAGAACCACTCTGGTCCCACAAAGGGTGTTTGAGCTCTTTTCCCTGCAAGACTATGTGCAATCTCGTTACACTTCACCCCGTCATGTTTCGGGTTTTTAGATAAAAGCAACAACAGATGAAGTATTTTATTCGTATCAGTTGTTTGGTCCTAATCATTGGAAAAGAGAAAGAAGATATTTTATGCGGATTGAAAGAAGACAACCTGTAATCCTAGATCTCGTTTGGCAACGCTGCTGTTACATGCAACTAAAAGTCTGTCGATACCAGTGGCGTATCTTATTAAAGATAAAATCAGTATTCCTCGATTTTTGTGCGAAAAAGATTATTAATTTGCAGTAAATACTAATTTTGTGTAATAGAAAGTCAGATAGTGACCAATTTAGGTGCTCCATTTTCGCTTACAAGCCTCGAAGAGGGTTGTTGAAAAGTACAAGAAAATATGCTTTCAGAACTTGTGACGATGTACGTTTTCATACATTCGATGGGCTTGTGTAGAAAAATCGGATAAAATCTCGATTTTTCCATAGAAGATTACTCCCTTGTTTTAACCCTTTAGCCATTTGCAACATTAAAGCCTTAGATTTCCGAAGCCCAATTCTATTAATTAATTATATAGTGAACACGGCTTGCGTGGAAATATGGGCAACAAATAACCTTTTATTTTTGTTAGGGAAAATCAAATTTTCCAAGTGTTATCCCCAGGAGCCACTCGTAAATTTCTTTTCATTCTACTTAAATTCGATGAACTTTTCAACCCTTTTTGAGGCTTGTATGCCAAAATGGGGTACCTAAACCTGTCACTATCTGACGGTCTATAAGGTAAATATAAAAAAAATAAATCATAGAATACTAACCTATATAGTGTGCAATAAACTTTATAATGGTTTAAACTTTAAAATCTAGTGGATTTGGAATAAGGGTATGCAGTTGAGTGCACTGTAGGTAAAAATTTTAAAAACATATATTTTTTAAGAATAATACAATATTTATTACATATAAATATGTCAAACAAAATAAAATGCAATAACTGAAATAAAAACAAAATAAAGAAATCTAGATTTACTTTAAAGAAACTTACGAATCCAATTTTGGAGTTAATTTGAACAGTTTTACAAATTGTTGATACGAGATTTTTTAATTAAAATTCGGATTTTTTAGACTGATAAATTTATAAAAGTTAATTAATCAATAAATTACCATATTTAAGGTGAGGATTTCAAATAAAACGCTACCCATAGCGGATTTGGCAGTAAGAATTTTGTAAAATTTGAAAACACGTAGATACAACAATAAACCTACGTTAGTGCTAGGCCAAAAAAAACTTCGTTAATATTTAAAAAGAAAATATTCGTTTCTAAACAATACTACAATACTGGCGTGTTTTGCGACGGTTGGAGTTTTGTTTTTCTAATTCCGCTCGTAAGCGAACATCAGAAGGTTTTGACGTGTTTTAAAACTCGAGTCTGTTTACTGGAAATGGTCATGTTGTATAATCTAAATTTTGTTCCAAATTGGTACCTATAGGTAAGTAAGTAGTAATGTATTTTTTTTTTTTGAAAAGTTGCGCTAGATAAATTTATATAAGTATATTTATGTGTATAATATATGTGTATATGTTATGTAGTATGAAACTACTGTACTAAATTCTGTGGTCAAAGTGAATGACATTAATCACCAAAGAATGACATTACTTGTTATAATTCTGTGACAAAATTATTTTAATCTATAGTAAATTAGTTTAAAATAAATACCTAACGATGATATGATCTTAGCTCAAATAACACTAACCTGTATGCTTCTTATGTCATCTTTGTAGAAATCTTTGATTGCACGACAGAAAAAAAATATTGTAGCAAATTTTGATGGTTGTCAGGCAACGGATTTTTT